AAACTCAAGGGATTAGCACTATCAGGAACTGCAGAAAACCAGATGATTCCACAGCAATTCCAGAGCCTGAGTTTGGAGCAAGTCATTGTTGCAAACAAATGGAATCACTTACAGGCACAGAGCTGTGATTAACTGCAAAAACCCCTTAAAAGGTAGTTTTACATTTTAAATGGGAACGTTAATCCAATGCGTGCAGAGTCAAAATATCAGAATTCAGGGCTGTTTCCCTCAACCACACTGGGGTGAGTGGCTGAAAAGTCTCTTTACAGGGTGTATTAAAAGCACCCAAGCAGTGCAAGGATCAGTCACAGTGTGTGGGGACCAACCTGGTGACCTGAACAGGAGAGGAACACAAAAGAAAAACCAACATTTATGTGTAACATCAACACCACGGAAAAATCCCAAAGTGCACGGGGTTCAGCAGTGAAATAAATGACAGCGATTTCAGCTCATTGATCTAAAAATCTGAAGACTATTCTGTAAAATAACCCTGCAACCATTGAGAGAAATGCTCGTTTTTTGTTCAAATCATCACCAGAAGCATCACACTTCCCCTTCCAGCCCCCAAATTACAGCTGCTGACCCCGTCACAGCTACTTCTGCAATCTTTCACACCCAGAAGGGCTGGACCAGTCAGGAGAGTTCACCAGGATTAAATATGCTGAGCATCCCTCGGGAAGATGGACCATACAAATGAGATTTCCACACAGCATTTAAGGCAAAAAATCACAATCAGATCAAACACACTCTCAGATGTTCAACGCAGAGAGGAAAAAGGGACTTATCCCAAATTTTTCAGCCATTTTGGGGAGGTTTAAGGGAAAATTTTAGACATTTCAGTAGCCTGAGTGTGATGGCAGCTGGGAGGTTGCCTGAAGTTGTTCTTATCAGGAATCTTCCCTTAGCAAAGACAAACTCGGCTCAGCAACCACGCAGCCACCTCTGGGCTCTGCTTGCTCCTGCTGTAAATTACCTCATCCATTTGTCATATTTTTAGCACTTTTTGGGCTGGGCTGCAAGATCTGCAAGAGCTGCATTTTAACCTTTGCTAGCGACTACTCAAGGACAGAAGTGGTTTACGAGCCCTCGCTGTGTAAAAAAATGTCAGTATTAAATTTCTGCAGCTCAAACCATGGAGCTATTTACTGAAGCTTTATACAAACTAATTAAATATAAGGCTCTCGTGGGACACGAGGAGAAAGAAAAGGAGAATTAAGAGATAAATCACTGGCTTTTCTTTCCTCAGCAAGTGTACACTCCAATTTAATATATTAAACCAAAAAACACCCTGACAGTGCTTGCTCGGGCACAGAGAGGCAGCATCCCAATCTCACATGGAACACACAGCACAGCACAAATTAATTATCTCTGCCTCACCACAACTTGCACAAAGGAATTGGGAGAGACAATCCAGACAAGGGGACGAGCTTGAGATATCAAAGGCTCCATATGGAGCCCACGGAATCTCACTTTGCAGCTTCACAGGGCTCCCAGGCTTCGTGAGCACATGGCATGGAGAGGTATCAAAGCAGCTTCCCTCCCCTGCCCACCCCACGTTGTCCTGGCAGGAGAATTCCGACCGCTTGACATGGATTCATGCCTGAGTTTCCTCAAAAAGAAGCTTGAAATCTTTTTCCCTGGAGACTCCAAGGAGTCTCTCCAGGAGCAGAGAGGACAAACCATGGAAGCAACGGAGAAAGGCTCGAGGTCGGCGCAGGTGATGGGGAAAATCTGGGCACCTCAGTGGGTTAATTCCCTTCTGCAGAAAGGTCAGCTTGGAGCTGAACCTCCAGATGTTGGAGCCCACTGGGCAGCCCAGCACATCCTCTGGTGGTCAGTTATAGGCTCAGAGCAAGAACTCGAGGCTGTGTCCAGCCTGGTTCCAGATGGACCCACCAGAGTGGCCAGGTCAGCAGGGAGGAAGCCCTCGTTCCCTCCACACCCCCTGATCGCTGTACGGTAACTTTGGTTAAAAAAATCTTCAACTTCAGGGATTAATTTCATTCAAATGTTTACCTCCCCACGGGAAGGGCCACATCCAACCCAAAAGATGCTGTTGGGAGACATCAAACACCTAAAGCTCACGGTGACAGGAGAACAGAAAGTTTCACTCATCCACATCCCATCCCTGGGAGTGTCCAAGGCCAGGCTGGACAGGGCTTGGAGCAGCCTGGGACAGTGGAAGGTGTCCCTGCCCATGAGATGAGCTTTAATATCCTTCCCAACCCAAACCATTCCATGATCCTTTGCCCTGCTGCCCCTTTCTTCAATTAAAAACACCGAGCTCATTCAGCAACAGAAAATCAAAAATTTTGCATCATGATGATCTGTTAATCAAGCCATTCTTTAAATAGTTTCTGATTAACCACTTAAGGCTATTAAATTTTTAAACAAAGCTCCATCATTCCATTAGCAATCATTTAAAGTGCTTAAGGAGGTGTTTGTGGATTAAGGGTTTTAAACCAAGCCTCTAAACACGGTTCCCAGCGTGGAGCGAAGCACAAAAAATGCCGAAAGTTTCTAAATGCCAGCAAAAAATATCCGAGTTTTCTCATCAGAGGAGCAGATGCCACCTCACAGTTCGTGTAGCACGCCAACACGTGATTCATCTCACCCCCACAGCCACAGGAAAAAGATTTCAAACAGAGTTAACACCATTTCCACGCTGTTTCCACCAAAACCTTTCCATAAGAACCTTGGCGTGTTTGGTGATGAGGCACCGCCACACTTGTGGATTTCAATGGATTTAGCACCACCTCACCTTGTGATGGAGAGAGCTGCACATCCCTGGAATCAGAGCTGAGAGATTCCCCAAGGAATCACAGCAGTATCCAGCTCAGAGCTGAGGTATCTGCGGGATGGTTTGTGGGGTTTTAAAAGGAGCAAAGCCTCCCCCCGGAGCTGGTACCTAAAGACAACGATGCCCACTGTGGAGGCAGCTCCTGAGAGGTCAGTGCTGGGTGGAAAAGGGGAGCTCCTCTCTGAAATAAAGTGGGGAATGTGGGCCAGGGCTGTCCTGGCCATTTCTGAGCTGTCTGGCCCCTCTTCACCTCCCAGCCAAGGAGATGGAGCAGCGCCTCCATCCCCATTCCCGCGCTGGGAGAGCCAAACTGGGACAGGGACGGGCTGAGCATCCCGAGGCGAACTCATCGCTGCCCTCCCCTCTAATTCAGGAAGGAAATCTCCTTCTCCCAGCTCCTCCTGATCCCCTCACACGCTTCCGGCCTCCTTAACCTCCGTGGCTGAGTGAGCAATGTTGTACAAGGCCAAAAAAGCAATAAAAAATCCGTGTGCCACTATCACAACCCACTTTTGGGAGCACATTCCAGGATTAATTGACAGCCCCAGAGATGAGCTGAGTTCTGGCAGCAAGAGTCTTCCCATTTTCTTCCTCTCCAGTCTGAAAAGGAAGGGAAGGATTTCTAATTCATGCGAGAGCTGAGAGGTGAGAGGATGCGCTTTGCTAATTCTAAAGCCTCGTTTCCGTGTTATTCCCAAATATTGTGACTGCGAGCTCGCATCTTTCATGCACATTTTGATGGGGTAAATAATGAAAGAACCTGCAAGCCTCTAATTTTACACTGACTGCAATTCCCAGTTCCAAAGACAGCTCGAAAACAGGAATAGAAACTAAACCAGTAAAAGAGAAACACGCCCTTCTCCATTTCTAACTTTAAGAACCTGGATATTAAAACAAAATAAATAAGTAATCAAAATAAACTCTTAACACAGCTTCATATTTGTTCAAATAAGCATTTTTTCAACAAAAGTACCCAAACTTCTTCTAGGTGCAGGGCACTGGGGGTCAGGGTAGGACATACCTTGTAGGACAAGGTGTTTTTAATGATTTACAACCAACAAGCAGAGTCCCCCCCTCCCCAGCAGGAAAAATAACCTAGCACCTAATTGCAAAACAATATCTTAATTGTCAGTTTTAATCTAGGTTTCCTACTCAGATTTAAATCTGGCTTTTTTTTTTTTTTTCCAAATTGCATTGATTTAACTCAATCAACCCTGCCCGAAGGCCATCTTTCCTGCATGCTCTGAGCATACCAAGCAAGTTTTAACCAATTAGATAAATCACTGAATCTCAAAACTTCCTAACAGCCATGTATCAAGCCATGCACAAGCCCTAATTATGCTTTTAAATACGTTTTATCCTAAAAACTTGTCAAAAATAAGCAGCTCAGGGGGGTATTTCACCAACCTTTTTATTTTTTTTTTTTTTATTATATATTTTTTTTAACCTAGGGCACATGATGGCCTGAAACCCAGCCAGCTGAATTCTGCAGGAGCCTTGCAGGGTCACTGCAAACCCCACTGTTTAAACGTGTTTATTATTCCCTGTGATGGTGGGAATAACGCTGCTGCAGGAGTTTTTATTCATTTCTGAGAGTGTGCATTTCTCTGTGTGTGTGTGTACACCCACACCCACACCGCAGCCTCGAGGTGTTACACTCCAGCACGGCAAGGAAAAGCAGGGAATATTACAGACTCACCAAGCAAAAAAATCCTGAATAATGGAAGTTTCTAGCACAAATAGCTTTCCCAAGGACCCTGGAGCACAGTCCCCCATCAGCAGCAGTGGAAATATGCTCCTCTGACACTGCACAGATTGTTCAAAGATTCCCATGACAGGCGGAGGATTAAAAAGCAATTCCCTGCCTCTCATATTTCACATGCAAAGCCGTCTCTCGGAACGGCAGGCAGGAAAAAGATGGATCTCCCCGAACTCAAAAATGGGAGTATTCCATATAAAAAATAAAAAAAAAGCTCTCGCTGTGGTACCTTAAAAACGGCACCACCAAAGCAGGAATTACCCCATAGGGACAGACACAGCACTACAAACCCGACCCAGCTTTGTATTCCCAAAAAAAACCCTGCAAATTCCAGGCAATCTGCAAATGATTTTCCTCTTCCCCACCCAAACATCCACTGCAAACTCCTACAATCGCCAGGCAGGCTCGCAATGAAGGGATGGAAATAAAACCCTTCCTTACCTTTAACTTGAGTGTCATATTCAGCTATGATCTCCTTATCCTTTTTGAATTTTGCTGGCGACGTCATGTTTTCTTTTCCAAAAAGCTGAATAACCTCGAAAGGGATCCACCAGAACACGAGATATAAAAAGGCAATTTTTGCTCCTCTCAGCACGATGCCTTGGCTCTCCGCTCGTCCTTCCCTCCCCCCCCCCCGCAAATAGGGAAAAAAAAAAAATCAAAAAATCAGTCCATGGAGAGAGGGTGTGAGAGGGAGCACAGCAGCAGGAAAATGCAGATGTTGAGATCAGCGGATGGAAGAGGCAGCAGTTTTGTCTCCCTGCACCAAATCCTTGAGCAGCAGCATCAGCCTAGCGAGATCCTGCAGCCCCCAAAGGCTCTTCCTGATCCTCAATAGCACAGCCAGGGAGTGGAAGTCCTTCCGCACATGTTTTGTGTGGGTTTGGTTTGCCCTTTTTTTTTTTTCGTCTTTTTTTCACTCCTCTTCTCTTATTTATTTCTTTTAATGGGCTCAGAGATGATGCAAATCAAATCCCAAACGAGAGCAGCAGCAGAGGAGAAGCAGCTTTGGTTTGCTTTGCCTGCAAATACAAATAATAATAACAATAATAACAATATATATATATTTATATATTTAGAAAATGACTGCTCGCAGCCCAAATTTGTGATGGGAAGCAAAGCTGCCCTGACACCCTGACATTGCAAATCGTCCTTTGAGCAGCAGCAGCAGCAGCGGGAGGTTCCGACTGCAGCCCGGCCAGGTGCCCGAGGGAACACGCCTACACCGGGGACCGGGGCACATACCGGGGATAATTTGGGGTGCAGGTCCCGGGAAACCGGGGGGAAATGATTTAGGGAGAGAGTCCCGTGGGGTGATTTGGGGTGCGGCTCCCCGGGGAACAGGGGATGCTTCGGGGAGCAGCGGCTCCTTTGGGATGCGGCTCCCGCGGGGTTAATTTGGGGGGCAGGTCCCGGGGGAGAATTTGGGGAGCGGCTCCCGGGGGGAAGGGGGCTCCTTGGGGAAGCAGGAGCTCCTCGGGGAGCGGCTCCCGGGGGTCTGGGGGCTGCCGGGCCCCGCAGCATCCCCCGCTGACCTCGGGCTCGGCCCCGCAGCCCCGGGCACACCGGGCGCGCCCCCGCCGGGCGGCTCCGCCCGCAGCTTCTCCCTTTTCGCCTTTTTTTTTATTTTTTTTCTGCGGGGGTGATTTAGGGTTTGTTCCAGCGCCCGCTGTGCAGGGCGGGACACAACTTTTCCCCCGTCTTTTCTTTACAATTTGTATTTCTTCCCCCTTTTTTTGGGGGAGGGGGGGAAGGAGGGTGGGCAGCGGCCGGAGCCCCCCGCGGAAGATGCGCGTATGGGAGGAAGAAATAAATAAACACGGCACCCGCCGGATCCGCATCCCGCCCGGGAAGAACAATGCGGGCGGCGGGGAAAGGAAGCGTGGGGGGGTCCCGGGGGGGGCCGGGGCAGGGGGGACGCGGCTCGGGGCGCCGGGGAGGCGGCGGGGCCGGCGGCGGAGGGCTGCCCGCGGCCCGCCGGGGGTGGCACGGGAGGGCCGGGGGTCGGGCGGCCGGGCGGGACGATTACCTGGGCACTGCGGAGCCGCCTCCCACAGCCGGGCGTCCTCCGGCCCCTGGCGCCCGCCGCCCGGTCCCCCGCACCGGCCCGCCGCCGCCCCGCCCCGCCCAGCGTCTCGGCCAATGGGCACGGAGAGCTAGGCGTGAGCGACAGGCGCGGTAACCAATCAGACAGCGCAGTCACCAAGATGAGCCCGCCCTCTCTTCCCGCCGCTTGGCGCCCGTGACACCGCCCCGCCGGCCGAGCGCGGCGAAGGGGCGGGACGACAATGTGAGTGACAGCAAATCCAACCAATAACAGCGAGACGAGGCGCGCGTTTCCGCCAATAGCCAGACGGCAGGGGTGGTGCCACCGGATTTTTCAATGAGTGGGCGTGGCCTGCGGCGCCCAATGGGAGGGCGCGGTCGGGAATTCAAACTGACAGGTGGGAGCGTGGCCGTTGGCGCCGGACCGGGACCGGAACCGGGATCGGGATCGGGATCGGGACCGGCACAGGGACCGGCACAGGGACCGGCACAGCATCGGGACAGGATCGGGACAGGATCGGGACAGGATCGGGACCACGGTCCCACCCGCCATGTCCGCCTCCGGCTGCACCTTCGAGGACCGGTGTGTGAGCGTGCTGTGCTGCCGGTTCTGCCGGCAGGTGCTGAGCTGGCGGGGCATGCAGGCCGTGCTGCTGGCGGACACCGACACCCACCTCTACTCCACCGACATCCCGCCCTCGGGGTAAGCGCTGGGAACGGGGAAAGGGTGGATCCCACGGAGGACGGGTCCTGTCAGCCCCGGCGGTTCTCAGCATCACTCCAGAACCCGCTGACACCGGGAGAACAGCCCCGCAGAACGCGGTTCACCCCATCCCTACATCCCCAGCCCCGGGGAACCCGCGGCAGGACGGCTAAAAGCGAGGATGTCCCGTCCAGGGCAAATCCCAGCTCCGATTTAATCCATCAGTCGGGGTGACACAGGCTCAGCAGCCACGGGAAGCTCCTCCCGCTCCTTTCCGAAGCGAAGATTAGAATTTGAAATAAAGATCCGCAAACAGAACAAACCTGATCTGTCACTGCTGCCAGGACTCTCCCGCAGCTCGGCTCAGAGCTGCTTTCCCAGAGCGAGATTTGAATAGTAAGGAAATCAGGTTGTGAAATGACATGGTAATCAGAAAGTATGGGTTGGAGAGGAGATAAGGAATCAAAGGTTTGGGTTTAAACATCCCAGCCTCTGAGATATTGTTCTGCTTCTGAGCTGGGGTGATGTCCCTAATCAGGGTTCTGACAGAGCCCGGGAGCCTCTGAGTACCAAGGCAAGCTCTGCTTTTTTGGGCTGCTTTAAGGGGATTTTTGGTACTCGTGCAATGTCACGTGGCTGTCTTATTAAAGTTTCCATATGAGCAGGGCTGAGAGTCAAAAGGAAAACAGAACCGTGTGGCCTCGGGAGGTTTAAACCACGCAGGACCAGCGGCAGCATCGCTCTGCTGTGACTTCCCCCCAGCGAGGCTGTGACCACCACAGCCCTAAAACTTCTGCTCATTTCCTTCCTCCAGAACAGTGGATTTCATCGGGAGCTGCTACTTCACGGAAATCTGCAAGTGCAAGCTGAAGAACATCGCCTGTTTGAAGTGGTGAGGGCGCAGCCGGTGGCACTGACGTGTCCCAGCCCCGTGTCCCCTCCTCGCTGTCACCTCCCGCAGCTCAGGAGGGAGGGGATGGAGGAACAGATTGTGTTCCCTGGTGCACATTTCGTGCTGCTGGGGACAAACTCAGCCCCTCTGCCCCTGGGCAAGGCTGCCAGGGTATTTCTGTGCGAGTCCCCGCTGGAAATGTGACGATGCTGTCGGGTGGATTGAGCCTCCTGAAGGCTTGTGGGCCACCTGCCCCATGAAATGTCTGCCTCAACACTGAGATATCTCTGTGAATAAAGCCCCAGCAAGAAGCAGTTACTCATATTCCAATTAATAGAACATCCTCTTGGCAGATCGGGTTGTTGGGAGCAGATGGAACAGGCTGTCGCTGAAGTTCTTGGAGTTCTTTTATCCTCCTTATTAATGCCTGATATTTAGGGGTGAAAACAACAACTCTCAGATAGCTCACAGTTATCTGAGAGAATTCTTTCAGCTCCCTAATCAAGATTTTTACCTTTCTCGGATTTGAACGATGCTGGGGGGGGTTTGTGATAGGGACACAATATATTAGTTTATAGACAGAAGCAGAGATATCTCATCAGAACACATGAAAATGGATAAATGGTTATTATGAATTCAGTCGAGGAGAGTTGATAAGGGTCAATAACCTGGCCCAGAGAAGCTGTGACTGCCCCTTCCCCATCCCTGAAGTGTCCAAGGCCAGGTTGGAGCACCCTGGGACAGTGGAAGATGTCCCTGCCCGTGGCAGGGGGTGGAACTGGATGAGATTTACGGTCCTTTCCAACCCAAACCATTCCATAATTCTCACTTTCATCCCTCGTGCTGCTGGTACCCTCCTGTGCACGGTGTTTGTGTACAGGTGGATTTTAAGCGTGAGGAACTCCTCTGCTGGTTGCAATCACTGGCCTCCCAAAGGAAAACAAATAAAGAAATCCACCAGCATTTTGTTGGTATGTAAACTAACCTGGCTTACACAATTTAAGTTACTAAACGCTTCCCTGTGTGCCAAAGATCTAAAACCCAGATATTCTGCAACTCCCAACAGATGTTCCCTAAATATTTAAGACACTTGTTTAACCCTGTTCCCTCAACTCTGTCAAGTTACATAATGGTCTGGCACTGGAGCTCTTTAACTGGAGCTGGAAAAAGCCACCAAGATCCCCCTTTTCCCCAGGCTCACTCTTTCCCTTGCCTTTTCCAGTGGGAACATCGTTGGCTACCATGTGATTTGTCCCTGCAAGCCCTGCCTGCTGTCCTGCAACAACGGCCACCTCTGGATATTCCACAGCCAGGCCGTGTTTGGCATCAACAGGCTGGACCCTTCTGGTGAGGAACATCTTGGTTTCCTTCCCTTTCCCTAAAATCCCAACTCCCCACCTGTTGGAGTCTGAGACACAGAGTGTGTGCTCTTGTTTCTAATACTTAGTTCTAGGATTCAAGGAAACACTGAATTTCATATAATCTGAAATTCATGAGCGTGTTTTCATGGTGGTACATTAAAACAAATGCTAAGGTTAGATAGGAAAAGTGTAAGTGTGTAGGTTAGAAAGTTTCTTAAATCACTGGGTGAAAACGTAGTTTAGAGAACAGGAGACAAGATGGAGGATTTGGGGTGTTGCCTCTTGTAATTCTTCTTTTTTCTTCATGTTCTTCTAGAGGTTTTTGGGTGGTAGTGAGTGATTGGTTAAAAAATGTCATAGTGCAGCACAGAGGTGTTGGGTCATTGGGTCACTAAGAAAAATAACTTAGTTAGCATCTGTTAATTGGGTAAATGGACATATAAAAGACCTTGAAGGTCTTTGTTGGCCATTTTACCCCTTTTCTATCATAGTGCACATAACTCCTTGTACCTTGTAATGCTGAGAAGAAAAAATAAACAACTGAGTCCAAACAAGAGAAAACTGCCTCCCTCTCATCAATCAATCAAAGGGAAAAAGAACCCAAACCCAAAAGTCCTTAATGAGACTTGATGTCTCATTGTCCTTCATGATCTTCACCCACCCTGACCAGGCTCCACATGGCCAAAGCCACATCCCCCAAAGAGGGGCAGCGGTGAATGAAATCCCTGACCTGCAAAACCACTCATGGGGGAGGCAGTGAATGAAGATTTCAGTGTAAATCGCTCTCAAGCTGCCCCTCCACGCACATAAATCAGGATTTTCTGCAGCAAGGCTGTCACCAGTATAAACACAGGTTTATTTATAGTGGTGGGGATGGCTTTACTGGGCTGCCAGGCAGCTGTCCAGGGGCATCTCTTTATTTTGGGTGAGTCACGTTGTCACTTTGACCCTCCCTGAGCCCTCCTTAGCTGGAATTGCAGCTCCTGCATCCTGGTGGGAGGGATGCCAAGTGTCTGGCAGGGTTGGATCCTCAGGAATGCAGAAATCACCAGGGAAACTCCCTGCCCAAACCTTGCAGTGCCACCTGTGCCTCGGATCGATGCTGTTCACAAATAAATCATCCAGGAGGGGGGTTATCAACCTGAATCAGTTATATAAATATTTCTGTGGGCAGGGGTTTATCCTCTGAATTGGGCTGAAAAAAAAAAACCCAAATAAACAGCAACACTCACAAGATCACTTTGAAGTAAGATAAAAAATAGATTTATTCATCACGAACGTGACTCCCTGGATTTTGCAGGGATTATTTTCTCTCAAAATAGACGGTTGTGCAACTTAAAAATAAGGTCAGAATCCAAAAATATCTCTTTTTTCCCCCCCCCTCCTTTGTCTCCTTCCCACCAGGTGTGAATGTATTGCTCTGGGGCGAGCTGCCAGATTTGGAGGAGAGTACAGAAGACACATCCTGCACCTCTGAGGAGGAGTGCATCAGATAAACGTTACCTGCAGGATCTTCCCTCTGCTGGTGGCCTGGCTGTTTGCATTGGATTCATTTCATTTTACCTGATGGCCCATCAGAGCTTAAAAAAACCAGGAAATCTGGAGGAAAAAAAATCAAAAAAATCAAAAAAAAATTTGAATTCTTCTTGCTCTTTCCCTATAACATTCCCTGGACTCCTGAATCTGCCTGGCATGCACTCCCTGAGCAGAGATACACCTTGGAAATACAAAATCCATTTACTGAGCTCTATTTTGCTTTTTATTCTTAACCCTCTACAGCTGATAATCCTTTTCTTCTTCCCTAAAGCACTTTTCACAAAGCAAAAACCTCTCAGCTGCTTTCAGTCCCAAAAAAAAAACCCCTTCAGGAATAATCAGCCAGCTCAGGGGAGTTCTGGAAGAACTCAGCTCTGTGCTCAGCAGTGGCTCCAAGTTTTGCTGTTCTTTGGAGCTTCTGGAGCACCTGAGGTTCCCTGGATGCTCCTAAATGTGCACTGGGAAGCCTCTTAGAGCCTTTTCATTTTTATTTTTTAATATTTTCAGCATTCTGTCTTTCCACAGAGATCAAGTTCATGATGTTTTTTATTCCCCCATAAA